TACCCCCCACCACTCCATGCTCAACCATTTTTGTATATATATATATATAGTATGAATATAAGAAAAAAATTACTTTTATATAAAAAAAATAACAAAATATCTTACAAAAAGTTACTTTTACGTAAATAATTTGAAGAAAAAGAATTAAAAAGAATTTTAATTTTTGTTGTTCACAATATAATTTTTTTTCAATTTATAATTCTTTTCTCTTAATAATTCCAAACAGAAATTTAGATTTGAGAATTTTTTTCTTTATAGTTTTACGTTATAAATAATTGTTTTTTCAATTTAGAATTCTTTTTAATTTTTTTCTTCAAACTTTTTATTATTAAGCAGTATTTTTTAATAGTTTGAGATAAAATTTAATTTTCTAGTAATAATTCAATATATAAAATGATAAAAAAACATATTTACTCCGTGCATGGAGAAAAAAATTTCCGTCATACCACATAATTTTTTTGAGCAAAATGATGCATTGAGAAAATTGTTGCGAAAAAAGAATAAATAGTAATAAAATAATTAATTTTTTAAAGAAAAAACGACATATACGCATTTTTAACACATACGTTTAATTTCCGTTTCACTATTTTCGATATTTATTTAGATAATTTGATACCTTTACGATATAGTTTTCAAAATGAGTTTCGAGAGAATGTAAAACATTTATCGATTCGACTATCGTACAATCGTCGACGAATTTTTAAAGTTATCTTGTTATCAAAAATTTCGAAATAGTAATAAAATAATTGATTTTTTAAAGAAAAAACGACTTATGCGTATTTTTTAACACATACGTTTAATATCCGTTTAACTATTTTTTATATCTGTTTAGATCATTCGATGTCTCTACGATATAATTCTCAAAATGAGTTTCGAGAGAATGTTAAACATTTATCGATTCGACTATCGTACAATCGTCGATGAATTTTTAAAATTAACTTGATATCGAAAATTTTGAAATATAGTTTGAAAATGCCTACTTTGACGTTCCATAACATTTGTTACGATTGACCGTTTCCAGCACCGTTAACAACGTGCAATACTACGCCGCGAGTACTTCAAAACGATATTAAGAATGTAATATTTCGACTTCGTTTGATATCCCTTAATGAACCTGAAAATGAACACAAAAACATAAGGAAAAAAAAGAAGAAAATTATTTCTCTCTCCGTGCACGGAGCCTTTAGGCCTCCATGCATGGAGTCCTTCCTAATTTATTTAATTTTTTTGTTTCTTTCCTCCGTGCACGGAGAGATTACTTTTTTTTTCGCTGTGTAGTTTTCCGTTATAATTTTTTTTTCAATTTAAAATTGTCTTTAATTCTTTTCTCTTCAAATTTTTTACTTACAAGTAATTTGTTGTAAAAAAATTTTCGTCGCATATTATCTCTATCTTTTTTTTTATAAATAAAAGTGATTTTTTTCTTATATCCCTGATATATATATCTATATCGGAGTGGGGGAGGAATGGAAATTGCGCGTTACAGTAAATTTGGAGGTAATGTATAATAAAATAAAATATATATCAAGCAAACGTCGTCGTTTTTGGCCCCCAATTGAAAAAAAAATGCTACAATAAAGATAGATTAAGACACTGTTGCTTTCTACAGCGCTCTCACATTCCCCTTTTTATATATTAGGGATATATAGTAGGGATATAAGAAAAAAATTTACTTTTATAAGAAAAAAATAAAAAAATATTTTACAAAAAGTTACTTTTAAGTAAAAAATTTGAAGAAAAAAGAATTTTAATTTTTGTTGTTCACATTATAATTTTTTTTTTCAATTTATAATTCTTTTCTCTTAATAATTTCAAACAGAAACTTAGATTTGAAATTTTTTTTTTTTTAGTTTTACGGTATAAATAATAGTTTTTTCAATTTAGAATTCTTTTTAATTTTTTTCCTTCAAATTTATTATTATTAATCAGTATTTTTTAATTGTTTGAGATAAAATTTAATTTTCTAGTAATAATTCAATATATAAAATGATGAAAAAAAACGTATTCACTTCGTGCATGGAGAAAAAAATTTCATCATACCACATAATTTTTATGCAAAATGATGCATTGAGAAAATTGTTGCGAAAAAAGAATAAATAGTAATAAAATAATTGATTTTTTTAAAGAAAAAACGACGTGTACGCATTTTTAACACATACGTTTGATGTCCGTTTAACTTTTTTGATATCTATTTAGATTATTCGATGTCTCTAAAATATAGTTCTCAAAATAAGTTTCGAGAGAATGTAAAACATTTGTCAATTCGACTATCGTACAATCGTCGATGAATTTTTAAAGTTAGCTTATTATCAAAAATTTTGAAATATAGTTTGAAAATGCCTATTTTGATATTCCATAACATTTGCTACGACTGACCGTTTCATACACCGTTAACCACGTGCAATACTATGCCGTGAGTACTTCAAAACGATATTAAAAATGTAATATTTCGACTTCGTTTGATATTCCGTAATGAGCCTGAAAATGAACACAAAAATATAAATAAAAAATAAATAAAATTATTTCTCTCCATGCACGGAGATCATGGCTCTCCGTCGGAGACCATGGGTCTCCGTGCACGGAGGCCCAAAGGCTCCGTGCACAGAATCCTTCCTAATTTTATTTTTTTTTGTTTTTTTTTATTTCTTTCCTTCTTGCACGGAGAGATTACTTTTTTTTTTGTGTAGTTTTACGTTATAATTTTTTTTTTCAATTTAAAATTCTCTTTAATTTTTTTCTCTTCAAATTTTTTACTTGCAAGTAATATGTTGTAAAAAAATTTCTGTCGCATATTTTCTCTATCTTTTTTTTTATTTATATAAAAGTGATTTTTTTTAGGAATGAAAATTACGTGTTGCAGTAAATTTGGAGGTAGTGTATAATAAAATAAAATATATATCAAGCAAACGTCGTCGTTTTTGGCCTCCAATTGAAAAAAAGAAAAGCAAAACAAAAATGCTACAGTAAAAATGGATCAAGACACTGTTGCTTTCTACAGTACCCTCACATTCCCCTTTTTATATAGTAGGGAAAAGGAACTGCATGTCTTTTTTCAGAACGTGATTTTAGTTTTGGTCTTCAACGTAAGTTATTGGAAACTATTCCCACTCGATGTCCTTGGATTGAGGGGGTAATTTTTAGTTTGGCTTAGTCAAAATAGCAATTTTTCACTTTAACCAAAAAATATTTGTCTATAACCAAAATGGTCTTTTCTTGAGTAAAAGACAAAAATGCCCTTAAGTAGTTTATACAATTACAAAAATAGAATTTTGTTTCAAAAGACAAAAATAGGCCTCTTTGAAAAACTGGCCGGGTCAACCGGCTGTTGGCCACTAATTCCTCTTGGATTGAGCCAGTCTTTTGCAACTTGTACAACCTTACTTTCATCATCCCTCTCAGGATCCCTGTTAGTTCTTACACGGGTCCCTCTCAGAAGCTATCTTCACTATTTGCCCGCATATTTTGTTTCCTTAGATTCCTTACTTTTCATGTGTCTATAATTTACAATTAATATAAGGATCCGTTTGATTGTAAGAATAAAATTTGGGTGGAAGGAAAACGAATTTCAAAAAATTGAATTGCCTAAAACTTATTTTAATGAGAATTGTCAATTAAATGTGTTTGATTGATATAATTTTTTAACTGAAAAATATTGGAATTTTGGATCTTTTCATGTTTGTTTGGTTTTATTTTTCATGAAAATTGTCAATTATAGGGATATAATTTGTTTTCATTGTAAAAAAAAAAAAAAAAAGCTGAAAAACCCAATTCTCACAAGAAAAAAAAATGGAAATCATGAGAATTGATTTTTCACAAAACCAAGGAAAGGGTACCGTTATTTCCATCCACACTTTTTATAAGTATATCCACTTTTAAAAATAAATTTTTATTATATTTTAAATCCTATGTAAATTTACTTAAATAGACATAAACAAAATTAAATAAAAATACAAAACTCTAAATTGAACCACTAATTTTTACTTTTCATTGGATGGAAATAACTACATGCACAAAAGAATTGCCATAGAACAGCATTAAGTTCACAACTCTTCCATCGGAAAACGAGAATAATGTAGTCAGCTGCTGTTGAAGACTGCTTGCATGATGATGCATTGCAATCTATGACCAACAAGTTGCAAGGCATATTAGAGTTATCTGCACATGGTGGATAAAACAGCGAAATCAGCTTCATAATTCCCGCATAGATCTGTTGAGATCAGATTGGTTAAATTCAGAGGTTGTTTCTTCCACCAAGGTTCCCATGGTTTCTTGTTCTGAACTTGTTCTTGGCGATGTGGCAGATTTCCAAGTGAGGTAGCCACTAACAGGAAGCAATTTAGACCGTTCAGAATTAATGGCGATTGACTGGTGATTCATGTTGTGCATAGTCATTCTAATGTCTTCAAAAAGCTCAGTTAGACTTCTTCCTAAAATATGGGTTTCTTTCGAAATTACTTCCACGACTTTCTAAAGCCAATTGATGGGCTTTCTAAAGGATGGGTTTCTTGTTTGAAGTTTGGGGTTTACATCATTGAACTCATTTTGTTCCACTGGAGCAAGTTCTCCGGTTGTTGAAATCATATTATTTCGACACATATCTTCTATGGAATCTGATAGTGTGTAACTCGCTTTTGAATAAGCAAAAGAACTCGCCACTCTGCTTCCAATTTCTTTATTTTCCTTATATTCTCCAAATGTTGTTTATGTGCTTCTGCAGATCGACAACCATATTCCGGCTCCACATTCCGAAGGTGAAGTTCTTTCTCAAGCATCCGAAAACTGAAGATGATGAAAAAAAAATGATGAAAATAACGTGGATGCAAATAGTATTTTTTTAAAAAAAATTATATGGATACATGTTATTTAAATGAATAAATTTAGGAAGGATGAGATTGGAATATAATGTGGATGCAAATAGTATTTTTTTAAAATTTTATTACGGATAAACTTAGATTATGATATACTTATAAAAAATGTGGATGAAAATAGCTTGTAAAATCCCTCTTCATTCTTTTAACCATCCATAGATAAGATAGACCCATATATTTTTAAAATTTTAAGTGATATTTTAAAGATTTAAATCTGGAATTGGGTTTTTTTTTTTTTTTTGTAACTCAAAGGAAGGAACTTTTGGAGGTTTCTGGGGTTTCTGGATGATTTTCTGCGATGATTTCATGGATCAAAAAGTTTGGGATTTTGACGCTTTTGGTATTGAATGGCTGATTGTGGAATAAAGAAAGAATTTGTTTTGGTTTTATCGATTTTGGGAAATTAATTATGGATCATGTGATTGGAGGAAAGTTTAAGCTTGGGAGAAAAATTGGCAGTGGGTCTTTTGGAGAGCTTTATTTGGGTAATTTGATTCATTGTTTATCTCTGAATGTTCATTTTGCTGTTACGTATTCTAATTGTTTGACTATAATTGATCTGTCTCAGGAGTAAATATACAAACTGGAGAAGAAGTTGCTGTGAAGCTGGTGATTATGATAATTTCTTCAACTCTCAGAATTGGACTTTTATATAAATGAATTTCCTAGTTGCCGAATTATGCAGTCTTCTTATTGATTTGAATACCCTTGGTTGTCAAAGACAGTCTTCAATTATAAAGATTGATGAATGATGATCCTTATATGGCTTCTTCAAGTTATTCATCGATGCATTTGTTGTTTTCTGTTTACTTATTTGACATTACTATTTGTATGTACCAAGGCAGTTTGTTTGGTGAGTTTGAGTTGTTAATGAGACATATTGCTAAGTCCTCTACTTTATGGAATGGAGATGCTTTTTGCATGTAGAATTTGAGATTTAATATGTTTCAAGATTTATTGACAGTTTGAATTTTTAGCATCAGATTTTCAAGCAATCTAATTGTTTTGTCTTCCCAGGAATCTGTTAAAACTAAGCACCCACAGCTTCACTATGAATCTAAGTTATATATGCTTCTTCAGGGAGGAAGTGAGTACTTAGATTTGTTAATTTTCTTACTTTATCATGAATTGTGAGTGAAGGCAAATCATGTTTTGTAATGCTTTTGTTTGTTGCATGAAGCCGGAATTCCCCATCTCAAATGGTTTGGAGTTGAAGGCGAATACAATTGCATGGCTATTGATCTCCTGGGGCCGAGCTTAGAAGACTTGTTTAACTATTGCAATAGGAAGTTCACATTGAAAACAGTTCTAATGCTTGCTGATCAGTCAGTAAGTAGGCAACTGTCATTTACAGGGTTGTTATTAAACTCTTTTTCCTACTGAATTTTGTTATATGTAGATTAATAGAGTTGAGTACATGCACTCTAGAGGCTTTCTTCACCGTGATATAAAGCCCGATAATTTCTTAATGGGTTTGGGGCGAAAAGCAAATCAGGTATATCCTCTTTCAGAAATTATTATGTGTGCTTGTGTTATTGTATCATTTTGTTTGCTGACATTATTTTTTCCATGAGCACATTTTGGCCACTTTACTTCTGTGAAGCTTTCCATAACATTTGTAAATGAGAATTTCTTTAGGTCTACGCAAAATGTGGCCTAACCATCTAAGTTGTTATTCCCTTCATTTTTCCTCGGTGGTACCCATACTTTTTTCATGCATTTTTGTTTCCTATTTATCAATTCTTGATTCGCATCCATCATAAGATCCGCGTTTTCACTATATTTATTTTGTGGACATTTTGTCCTTTGACGGCCTAGTACACATTACCATAAAGCACAGCTTGTCAAATGATTATTTAATTTTGTTTTTGACCTTTTATAGATAGATATCTCTTAATCACATAAATTCCTTGCAGAAGTTGTTCAATACTTCCAACTCACTTAAATTCTAAACTTTATTTTCTCTTGAGCTCCACATGTTAATGATCGAACCTAAACATTTAAAACAATTATTTTTCGTGACTGAACTTTTATAGTGGCTCCATTACCTTCTTTATTGTTACTATTACTAAAAATACTTTCCACGTACTTCGTCTTGGTTCTTCTTAACCCAAAACCTTTAGATTCTAAACTCTAAAGTACCTTTTGAAAGTTCTAACTTATTCCTAGACTTATCTGTAAATAAGCTTGCAGAGCAAGTTGTCTCATTTTGGATAATTCTAGAAAGCTCATTATTACTGAAGAAAAAAGAGAATGATTGGTAGAAGTGGAACCTTGCTGCAACTACAAAAAATTTGCTGCAGGTGTTGCCATTACTTTTCACAACTACTCAATAATACCTCATTTATAAATATTTTTGCTTATATAAAGAAAATCCTTTTATGTCTAGCACTTGCATAGCACTTCCAAACAAACCTATCATATGCTTTTCTAAAGAAAAACCTTATCTATATATTTTTTCTTCTCTGTACTTTTTCATCAATATACCAAGTTAGTAAATGGCTTCTATTCTATATCGCCTTGTCAGAATGTTTCTTTGATAACTCTGGATTACACCTTAGTATATGCTCAGTCAACCTCTCTTGCCATTTCATAGTATGACTCATGTAATATCTGTCGAATTCATAAAATTAAATATGTCCTTTGTACTTAAAAATAGACCCCATAACACTCTTCCTTGTTGATTTAGCATCTTTCACCTTTTAAAATTTCATTGAATAGTTTTGTCGGCCATAAAATGCATACATTGCGTAGATTTCAGTACTTCAATAGGAATTTTAGTCGGACCAATTGCTCTTCTCAAAATTTTCCTCTTTATAACCACTCTCATTTCCTGGATTTGGATTCTTCTAGCATAGTCAATATTGCTACCATTGTGGGATTCACCATCGACTACTGTTATAGATAAATACTATCTCATAGATTCATATATCATGCTAGAGCTTTATAATCATATACACTAATGTTAAATATTTTTTCTTAAACAGATTAAATTACATTTTCTGTTGACAAATTAATACTGTGGGAATTTTCTTAAAATGGACACATTATCAAGTATTATACATCAATTTTGGGATGTTGCATGAAGATGATATCTAGAATGTTTTGTTAATTACTGGAGATATTAAATCATGGTATGCCTTTCAAAAAAATAAAATAATATAATATAATTAACTCGACTCTTTATCATGTCTGGTAGGACCTAAAGTTTCTAATTTATACTCGGAAGCATCTTCTTGCTGGACCTACCTTTATCTGTTCTTTCTTTTTCTACGTATCCCCCCTCCATTGGAATGATATGCTCTACAAGCCCGCTACCCACTCTAACAAAACCTTTTGATCTGTTTTGTTTCTTAACAGGTATATATCATTGACTATGGACTTGCAAAGAAGTACAGAGATCTTCAAACTCATAAGCATATACCATACAGGTAAATTTTCTTACATGATCCCAAGTTTGGATGTGATTCTGAAAATGTGATATTGTCTGCTACCACTAAAATTTTAAATTCAGACTATTGAGTGTAAGTCTGTATTTTGAATTTTGAGGAGGACCAGTTTGTGAAAGTATTGTCACGGTTCAGAACTCATTGAATCTTTCCTGAACCTTGTTTAGCGGATGTTGACAGCTAATGACATTGAACAATTTTGAACTCGTACATTTGTAGTCTGCATTGCATCTCCTTGTTAGACTTTATAGTCGCAACTCACAAGTTTGTTTGGCTACGAGTTTGCCATTTTTGAGGATCGAGAGAAGGGGTAAGATAATATTCGGGATGATGTTTTCCTTCAACATTAGATATGCTCCTCTATGGCTTCCTGATTTATATATTTTAAATGTGATATGGTTGAGTTACATTATCACAGGGAAGGGTCCTGATATGGAAATGTAATTTTTGGATTCCAGATGGAGCTCCATTTCCTGGGTCATCAGCTCAACTATTGGATTGAGACGTGGATTTTCTCTTACGCGTTTATAGTTGACCGCGCTCTTGACTTTCTTAAGAAGGAAAGAAGCGCATTTTGTAATTATGTGTAAGCAATTAATTAAAGAGGGTAACAGCTAAAACATGGGAAACTGAAATTACGTCCAAAGTTCAGTTTGAAACTTCATTTTTTTTCAGATTTCAGTGAAATGCTGAAAGCTGAAAATGTCCTTGATAGGGATGTAGAGATGTGATAGAGAAGGATGTTAAATCATGAATGAATTGAGTGAAAGGACTAAATTAGCTTTTAGAATTTTTTGAAGATTTCACTGAATGACGAAAGCAAAACAGGTTTTTCTTAAGAGTTATGTGATGGAGAATGGTATTGATTGTGGTGTTTTGATTTTATGTTTGATAATGCGCTGTTATTATAATATGATTTCTGATATTGTTTACTTAGTGGTGATGGAGCAGTTAAGTACTCTATAATAATTTCAAAATATATCGAAGTCCTTAATCATCATGTGACTATAGTCTCCTGATCTACACAATGAGCTGATTTTTCTTCTGATCAACAGAAGGTGCATTTGAATTTCAGAAACAGTAAAATTTCCCTTGAAAATATTCTTGTTCATTAATTTGAGCAATAATTGGACCTAAAATTGAGCTTGCCTTCCCAAGATAGAGTTCTCAGGGAATCTTGTCAGATTCCACTTTGATTTCCTGCTGAATTGTCTATTGTCCAATCGAATCACCCGGATTTTCTGTTTCCTTTTATAAGCTTCTTCAACATTCTATTTACCTCCATGATGGTTGGAGAGGCAGGGAGTAGTTTCAGGGGCATGTGGATCCTTATTTTGAATATATCCATGACTAAAACATTTCAGTGAAACTTGTGTCTTCTCTTTCTCCAGTACTTCCAAATTTATTTCTGTGAGCATAGCAAGATTTCTTGCCTCATCTACGGCTCATGTTTGGCAAAGCTTAAGCTATAATTTAAGCCGGTGAAATATACTTTTATCCACACATTTCGTAAGACCCAAAACCACTATCTACTTACTATCCACATATTCTATAGGAACCACAACTTATAATTGCTTAAATTTTAAATTAAACACTCCCAAGCATGCTCATAATATGTTAAATCATAATCTGCATGTTCATTTATCATGCAATAAACAGATTTTTATTTTGCATTAAGTTAGAAGATTGGGAAATATAAGTATGGCCATTTAATTTAATTTTAGGATAATTTATTTTCTCTTTATAGGGTTAGCTCTCTTGTTTTTTTATTTTTTATTTTTTGTTTTTTTATATTTTTGGTGTGTGTGTTGGGTGGTGGGCGAGGGGGGGGGGGCGCAGTTTGCTATTGAGGTTACTTCCAGAGGGGTTGGAGGGAAGTTTTCTTATGCCTGTTGTAGGCAAACGAAATGGCATATATCACAGGAATTAGTTCTGCTGAATTGGATCTTGAATATATTACCATGTTTTTTTTCCTACCTCTTCTACAGGGAAAATAAAAATCTCACAGGCACAGCTCGTTATGCAAGTGTTAACACTCATCTTGGAGTAGGTGAGTGAAAATTTAGATTGCTGCTACAACCGAAGACGACTATTGTTTTCTTCTCAACTCTCTTCTGATTTTGCTTTGTGTGCTACTGACTTTTTCTCTTTCAGAGCAAAGCAGAAGGGATGATCTGGAATCTCTTGGCTACGTGCTTATGTACTTTCTCAGGGGAAGGTTGAGCATAAGAGCTTGGCTTCAAAATTCTGGTTTCCATTTTATCCACTTACATGACCAACTGATTTT